ACCTTGTGCTTTGTACAAGTTTCTGGCTTAGTTGTAATCTATCCTTGCGTCCCTCTCTGTCTAACCGACAGGATCATAGCCCAGGCTGTAAACGGATTCCTAATCTAAGCTCTACCCAAGTTACTATTAAATCCTGTCCCCTGTTTGATTTAGCTCTGCTCCCTGTCACCTGACTGCCACATGCCAAATCATCACCAGATAGTAGAGGCTCAAGCATTTAAATGCTGACTCACAAAAGCAGAGTTTAATGGCAAGAGGTAGCCGAGCTGAATCTCTAGCCAGAACATACTGTAATCTGTAATTAGGACCCCATATACAATACAATGTTCAAGTAGGGCACAAGGGGGTAACAGGGACTCAAATATCGATTTTGAAATCTAAAACCGATATTTCCAGCCACCACATGGTGCCTGCACATCAGAACTATTTAGAGTTAATTAACACAGCGCTAAGGGTGAATAAATAAACTAAAAAATATATTCAGTATTAAACGTAAAAGTTTTAGACAAATCCTCACGTATTAGTGAATGTATGATGATAATTGGTGAATAATATACCATAAAACAATCGGTGTATGTGAAAAATCAGTGTTAACAGCTGTTAACCCAAAAGCTACTTTGTAAAAAGAAACTTTGTGAATGGAAGTGAAAATACAACGCTAAGGCTGGGTTCACACCTAGGCGTACAGAATATGCGCGTTTGCCACGATTTGCAGTAAAAACCGCGCGACAAACACGCGTTTGCGAGGGCTACCTGGCTGTATCCCAATGGATACGCGCGGCAAATACGCCCTAAATAAGCTACTGTACTTCTTTGGGCGTAGGGCGTTTTTCAGCGCGTTCCTACTCGCTGTAAAACGCCCACGTGGGAACCATGCCCATATGCAATCATTGTTTTTCACATGTTGAGTGTTTTACAGAGCGTAGGAACGCACTGTAAAACGCCCAGGTGCGAACCAGGCCTAAGAGTGAGCTAATAAATACACAGTGTTAAATTAATTAGATCTCTGTACAAAAGTTAAAGTAACAATCCATGTGGTTAAAAATAATTATTATTTATAATAATCTAATTCTAAATGAATTAGATATCTGTACAAAAGATAAAAAAGTAACAATCCACGGGTTAATATTATTTTTAACCACATGGATTGTTACTTTTTTATCTTTTGTACAGAGATCTAATTCATTTAACACAGTGTATTTATTCGCTCACTCTTAGCATTGCATTTTCACTTCCATTCACAAAGTTTATTTTTACAAAGTAGCTTTGGGGTTAACAGCTGTTAGCTGGTGCCAGGAGCTTAAGTTTACATACACTGATTTTCCACATACATCGATTGTTTTATGGTATATTATTCACCAATTATCATCATACATTCACTAATACTTGAAGATTTGTCTAAAACTTTTACATTTAATACTGAATTTATTTTTTAGTTTATTTATTCACCCTTAGCACTGTGTTAATTAACTCTAAACACTCAAGGTTCTCCTTTCTCATAGCCGCTTTGGGGTTAATAGCTTTTAGGTGTTTCCAGGAGCGCAGATTTTTTGTTACATACATCAGAACTATTACTACCTTTTAACCACTTGCTGACCAGGTGTTTAGACCCCCCTTCCTGTCCAGGCCATTTTTCAGTATTCAGCGCTGCGGTTCTTTGACTGACTTTTATTCTGTCATGCAACGCTGTACTGAAATGAATTTTATACCATTTTTTGGGGACAGATAGAGCTTTCTTTTGGTGGTATTTAATCACCACTACGGTTTTTATTTTTTACTATATTTCGGAAAAATTCGAGAAGTGACAAGTCCTCTTTATGGAGACATCAGGGGTCTCCAAGACCCCTAATGTCACCTAGGACCCCCCTGAAGAAGCTGATGAAGCAGAGATCTGCTTCATCAGCTTCTCTCCAGCATCTGAAGCTGGAGAGTGACACGAGAATGCGGAAGTGATGTAATATACATCAGTTCCACATTCTGACAGCGGAGGG